GATCTTGGAAGTCTCTCACTAAATTTCTAGTGCTTGAACAAACACAAGGAAGTATATTCCATAAACTGAGCTCGTTGAGAATGGCTGACCAAGCACGAAGAATTTAACAAGGGGGAGAGAGAAAAAAAAAGACATGGTTTGGTGTCAGAAGGGGCATTCCTAATTCTCCCCAAATGCTTACCCACCCTGTGACATGAGCAGGATTAGTAACACTCTCCTTTGCAATTTCCTTTGCAATTTCAGCAGAACAAAGTTATAACAGGTCATTTGTTGCTGACGTAGCTGTATTGAACAGTGTTACAGGCAGATGACTGTGTGACATTTCATAATACTGGGCATGACAGCTTCTTTTTTTTTTTTTTTCTTTTAAAAGTTGAGTCTTGCCGACTGCCACTCAGCAGTGTGCTTTGTCAGTCGGCCTGTTCTGCACTCCACTCTGTCTTCGGAGAATCCTCTCACCACTCTTGCATCTCTGGCCTGTACCCCAGTTCTATATGTATACATAAATACATCTTAAATAAAATGTTGAGCTTGGAGGTCTGAAATGGGGGAAGGGGGTGGTCAGGATTTTTAATGTTGTGTTGCATACACTCTCTGAACTCAGCATTAACAGAAGTATGGGTTAGCGGTATATGATGTGGATACTAGAGCCTTCATCTAATAATTAAAGATCTGTGCCCCCTCTTTTTGAAGGTTAAAACTTTAGTTCCTGTCATCACAAATTAGCTTTCTAGAATAGAATTCTCAAGTTTGCTATGTCCTTTGAAATAATTCAGATTCTGAGGTTCTGAACTGTAAAGCTGTTGAGGACAGATACACCCATTTTCTTGTGATCTGATAGTAGGTATTTTTAGGTTTCTTTCTTTTTTTTTTTGGTGACCATTTTGTCTTTACCCTATTTCTAACTGTCATTTTCAACATTCCCCATTTCTCCTTTTTTTCAGTGTTTGGCACCAGCTGTGCCTGTGCCACTGTTAACTGGGCAACATATCATCTATCTTTTTGCATCCTCAGTTCCCAGACTTGCTTGAGATCCTTTGACATTACATAGGGAGACTTTATGACAGACTGGTCTTCATAAAACATTTGGCCCAAAATTGGGTAGAAAGAAAAAGAAAACCGCTTAAAAACAGAGAAAATTAAAGAGGAGATTTTGAGTTCAAACAATTTTCCTTTTTTGCATGTGTATTTTATTTATTTATTTATTTTAGGGCCACCTGAAAAAAAAGTAATGGTGCACCTAAAGAAGATGAACACTGCTTATGATGACTTCGGCAATTCTGGCCACTTCACCATCATTTACAATCAAGGCTTTGAAATTGTGTTGAATGACTACAAGTGGTTTGCCTTTTTTAAGGTTAGTTTTGTTGGAAAATTTCTTTGTGTTATTAATGATTTGATATCTGAAGTCTCTTCTAATCAGAATGCCCTGAAAATTGTAATTTTAGATTAAAAAGATAAACACTTTTTTTTTTCCCAGGAGAAATTACATGGCATAGTTTTGCCACTTATAAAAAGTGGGATTTCAAAAGATTTTTAAAAGCTATCTATATTTGAATACTTGTAGTCTATCTATATTTAAAATTTTAATTTGCATAAGCACTACTTATTTTATTTCTGTACCTTATTTCTGAAAGTGTTATTTAATCAATTTGCTTTGTTCTGAATCTATAGGAAACACATGGGTATTACATATTTTTTTGGGAATTTTTATGCTGCCCCCTAATCATTGCTTAGTGGCTCTGAAAAATCAAACGAAATATCTCATTGAAATACTATAATGCTTTAAGTAAGATAATACGAATAACAGGGACAACAGCAGACAAAGAGGAGATAACAGTAGATAGTCCTCTGGTCAATTCAAGTAAAACATAGACATTCCAGCTGTTTTCTCCTTTCACTAGGGAAGAACTTTAAACATCTTGTTTACAGTGCTTTCAGGTAGATAGTCAGCACAGATTGCCATACAGCTCAGACATTCTTTTGAAGCTGGTGCCTTTCCTCTTAGCAGAGTGTTGCTTTAAATAAATTACATCCTTAAGCCTAGCTATTTCTTATTACAGAGTAAATAAAGACAGACTTTTTCATAAGATAGTTTTACAGCCCTTGGAACATCTGGTAAGAGTTAAACAATTAAAGAGGCTTGTGGGAAAGTAGAGGGTATTAAAGATGATGAAAGAGAAAGCACCAACAAAAGACTAACTTCTAAATTTATTGTGATTTCTCACATTGGTTGTGATTTAATCAATATGATATGGTGTTACTTCACAGCAACCATATTTCTTATAATAGTACATCTCATTTTTTTTAATTATGAAGGTCATTCTTTAAAAATGGGAAAGGAAAAGAGAGGAAAAACTATTTTTTCTTCACTGGCATTGGCCAGTCAGTGTTTCAACTAGAGAAAACCTTTCTGTCTGTATGAGTTGTTGAAGGCAGGCAATGACTTTATTAGCTGAAGCCCATGCTTGGTCAGTTATTAAATATTTTTAATATCACCCCTTGGTAGTCTACACTATTACTTATTTATGAATACAAGAACTGGGGTACAGGCCAGAGATGCAGGGATTGAAAGGATCCACCACAGAGTGGGGAGCAGAACAGGCAGATCAATGGCTGAAACACACTGCTGAGGGAAGCAGCGGTTGGGTCAGGAGTGGTCTGCCATGCCATGTGGGTCACCCCCCCTTGCCAGGGAGCCAACTCCTGCTGCAGTGGCTGAGGATCACTTCACAGTGCTGTGCCACCAGGGAGGCCCTTTGCCTACCTGTTGGTACTATCTTGGACCCTCCAAAGATTTTTGCCTTCAGATGAGAATCAGTTGCCAATGGAATTGATACACAAGAGATGTTCATGACAAGTGTTGCTATGTACTCCCTCAGGCCTCTTCATTTTTTCCTCTTCCTGTTCTCTACTCTTCCCCTTCCCCACTTTCCCCCCTCACCTTCCTCACTCTTTTTCCTTTCTGCTTAACACATAATAGGCTTTAATCAGTATTTGCTTAATAAATGAAAATGAGTGGATCAAATGCAAGATGGGGAGTTGAATATAAATAAGTAAATAATTTTACCAATTTGTCTTAAAAGCCTTTTCAATCTTCCATACAATTAGTGAAACTGGTGGGAAATTTCTAAAGTTACCATTTAATTACAAGAGACATAATTAGAAACAGAACAGCACTTCCCCTCCTTTAATGTTATTTTTCCAATTGCTTCACTCTCATCTTAAATAGAAATCTGGAAATGGAGGGAACAAAGAGAATGGCTGGTACTAAAGCAGAAATCAGAGCACTTCTTTGTGTTTCTTTATAAGTTTCAGTGTACGCAGAGTGGTATTTTTTCATAGCCTTATAACATTAACCATAGGTCAATAGAAAATCACCTTTTAAAGCCAAATAAGGCTGTTAAGTGTTCTCAGTTTTAAGTGGAAGAGCTAGTATATGAGCTGCCGTCTTGTGAAACTACCTGATCATGTGTCTCTGGGTGACATTCTGTCATCCTGACTTCAGTTTATTTTTTTAAGTGCCCTTTCTCGACAGAGTCATTATCAGGGCCATGTTTTCATTTCCTGTTGAAAAATCAACTACTCCAGTCAAAAGTTAGCTCTTGTGACAAGGGTTCATTTTGATAAGTAGAGTAGATAGTTTTTTTAATACTTTGGTTTTAAAAGTTCTCTTTATATAATCAACTGATTGCAGTTAAACTTTGTTTTGTTGAGTGATTAAACAGCATGTTCTTTTAATAAACCCAAATGAAAGACCATTAGGGAGCAGCCATTAAAAAAAAAAAAGCTATGAAAAGTTGGTTGAATTGACTCAAGGTAATAGGAAAGTGAAGAGATTTTGGTGATACTTGTTAACACAGAAAGTTTTCTGGATTTTACCATAAGTGTAAGGATATTTCATGCTAGGTATGTATCTGAAGAAAAACACAAAATGATTGATTTTTTTTAAATAATTTTGATTAAGTAGCATTGCGTTACATTTTTTTAAAATTGCTGGTGTGACTTATTTAAGTCAGAATCTTCATATACTAACTTAAGTTCACCCCTAAAACAACTCTATGTTTGGTAAATACATTTGATTCCTTTTTCTGATTAAACCAGCTTAATGGGTAAATCACTTGAAAATTTTCCTACAAACTGTAGAAATATCTTTAAATGAAGAATTATTCAAACTTAAGCAGTATTTGTTAAGTGTCTTGTGTGTCTATAACATTCTCTTCTCAGTCTACCTTCACTTCAGGAAATTTTGCTATCTATATCTACATTTGTTACTCTATACATTATTATCTATACACTATATACAGTATTATGTATGTCTGTTGATGTCACAGGTCTACTCATTGACTTTACCCAGACCTTACTTGTTTTTTTTTTTTACTCTTATAGTTATATTTCTTCAAATTTTAATTATTGCTGTTCCTACTTAAAGCTTGCAGAGCATGTGATACTTGCAGGATACTCTTTGGCTCTGATCCACCTTCTCTCCAGAGCTCAACAGAGAAGACAGCTCCATATCCTTCTTTTTGTATTCCAACCTTAAAGCAATTGTCATACCACTTTAATTAGAAAAATGCTTTAGTTATTTCTCCTTATTCAGGAGAAATGTGAAATATGAATATTTCCATGATTTAGAATTTCTAAAGCTTCTCCCTCCCCTTAGTTTTAATGGCTTAAGAAGTTGGGAATAGATGGCCCTCCCTGGTGGTGCAACTGATTAAAGTATAGCACCATAGTATAAGCAGCAGCTGCTTCACAGCCAGTTCAATCCCCTGCCAGGGAATTGACCCAAATAGCGTGGCGGACCTCTTATGACCTGCCTGCTTTTCCCCTCAGCAATATACTTCATCGATCTGTCCATTCTGTTCATCTCTCTTATTTCTGGTGAATCCTCTCATCACTCCTGCATCTCTGGCCTATACCCCAGTTCTGAAAGCATAAATAAATCTTTAAAAAAAAAGTTGGAAATAGAGCAGGGATAGTACTTTTATGCGTATGACTTCAAGTTAAAAGTGTAGTAGCAAATTTCTCTTGACTCTTATTAAAGTCCTGTGTAGTTTGAGTTGGTTCAGAAGCACTATATGCATATTTTTATTCTCTAAATAAATTTTTTATTTATGCATGCAAGAACTGGGGTATAGACCAGAGGGGTGGGAGGTGGGGTGTGGGGTAAGAGGATTCACCAGACACAGTGGGGAGCAGCACAAGTGGATCTATTGAAACCTAGTAAAGGGAGCAGTGGATGAGACAGGAGAAGTCTGCCATGCCATGTGGTTCATCTCCTTGGATGGCAATCAAACGCAGTGACTTCACAGAGCTTCCTTGTGCTATGTTTTAACCCATTGTGCCATCAGATTGGGCCCACATATGTATTTTTAAAGATCCTTTTCCTACTCAGCTTCCTGTATACATTAATTTATTTAAACACTTTGTAGTAGCAACAAACTCAAATGCATTTGGGACCCAACTGAATAGATGCCTAAGCATTTAAAACAACTTTGTTTAAAAGTGTCAGATTAAACCTATAGCAAAACAACCTGTCTTAGAGATATTCAGTTAAAATTTTCTTTTAAAACTCTATACTGACTATAAAAAAGACAGTCTATCTGTAGGACAGTTTAATAGCATTTACAATTGGTTATAATTGGCACAGACAACCAAATTTGGAGTACCTACACATTAAAAGCAGCCTTCATGCTCTATAAAAGTACACAGTAATAAAATAATGTAATAGATGGTTAATTATGCCTAATTATATAAGTGGGTAGGTGTTTTTTTCTTTATTCTTCTACTTGTTCGGTTTTATGATGGACATACATACATACAACTTATCTGTACACATGATCTCTGCCATATTGCCCAAAGGGAGGAATCATGGAAAACAATGGACCCCAAAGACTGTCCTCAAGTTGGACAGGCTTTCTAATTTTTAAGTTCATCTTTACTCCTCTGAGGCTTTAAAATAATCTGACTAGAAAAGGGAACAATAGAGAAAGAACTCAGATTTTACTTGGCAAATTAAGCTATTCAAGAGCTGAAGAAGATGCAAGGATAGAAACAAGATTGTTGCCTGAAAATTTTATGGGCAGTGGCCAAGCCAAAGTCATTGATTTCTAATTGAGTTTTTTTCTTGGGAGCCTGCTAGTCTTATACAAGCTGCAAACTTTAAAAAAAAAAAAAAGCCCTCATTATCATGGGTATTTTTAAAGCAGGTTGCTACTTAAAACAAGAATGGTATGTTGAAATCTGTATCAGAATATGTATTTGCCCATTTTGTGTTCTAGTGATTTGTAAATTTCAAGCTAGTCATAATAGAAATGCCAGTTATATATGTCTACAATAAAGGTTTTGGAAATC